CATGTCTTTTCAATGCAAAGATTTGGTTGTATAATTTTCATGTCGCCCAAGAACATTCGGAATGTCTTCATGGAATACCATACGGAAAGCCATACGAATTTCATGTATTTTTCTAATAAAATAATTAAATTGCTGCTGGTATCGCGAGTATAATCATTCGCTCAAAAAGTATGATTTCCTATTCAATTATGCACGTTATTATTTATTATTTTGTGAAACGCGTAAGATAAAGTTTCTAATGGAAAGCGCAAAATGTATTACTATATTACGTGGGACATCGAATTCAGAAACACGCGTGGCTTTCGTAATCTTGCATTTCAATATTTAAAAACCATTAGGCAAGCAATAGCAATTCATTTGATCAGATTTCTGTGAATATTAAAACGAATATTTTGTTAAGAGAAAAAATCCAATCCACCTAAGTACATTGCTCATAAGAAGTGTAATTAATTATTTCTCCGATTGATAATGTAGTCAACCTTAAATTTACAGCGACGCTCGAATTCGCAGGAGCCGTTTGTAAATGCACTTTGATTAGCTAACGGAAGCCCAAATGATTTTATGAAAATCCTAGCGCTATTTAACCGTTTAACGTCCTTTGCCAACGTATTGTATTAAGACACTTTGTTCAAACTCTTAATATAATGCATTGGAGCTTCCGACTTACCTAATATCTTTATTGCAACAATCGCAATAAATATAATAAATTCCTTTGCAAATATCAAATTATAATTTCCCGTTCAATATTCATGTTCATTTAATCTAAGCGCTGCTGCTCCCATTCGCTCCTCGTACACTACGTAACTTGTCCCTTTGCCCCCCAGCAATTTACTTTCCATTGCGCCGCGGATGAAAGGGTTGATGGGCTGCTTTATCGAACGTCGTCGGCTAACATCTTGAGAAATGCTTTCACAACAATGGAAAGCGCTTCATTTGAATAAGACAAGCATTCTATTTAATAATACAATGAGAGTGCACCTGGAAAGAGAGTAATTCTATTGTGCGGACTCTTAAAAATGGCGTCTACTTTAATATCTCGGAACGTTGAATTATTTCACGATTCATCTCTTATTTTCGGTGTGTGATTTCTTTTCATCCTACGGACCTATCGCTTTTTCTCATTCGCCTAATAACGCGGAAAACTTTTGTAATTGCGTTACGAACGCTTATACACTCGCGCATAAACGCCGAAACGTGTACGCGCGAACTCACGCGCGCATAATGAAATTCAATCGTTCAGGGAGCGACGTTCTCCACTTACAATAGCATCGATTCTATTCGACAAAAGCATATGAAACTCTACATCGACTGGAATATATAAAATACACTCTCGTCGGCTATTATTTATTTATTCATTTTTTTCTTTTTTTATAATAATAATTTTAGTTTCACGAGCGCTTTGAGCCTTTTACGTTAGAGTCCTTAAAAGTTGCGTTGCTTGGCCGAAGCCAAGATTCAGGCATTTAATGGAAAAATGTAAATTACGTAGTAATTATCGGCTGTCAATGTCTAATATATTTATTTACGAGTTCCTACATCGCATTACCTTATTAAACAAAATTTATTTGATATTTATCGGGCGAAGGATATTTATTGTGGTAGAATAACGTGTAAATAAATTTCTTGTAAATTATGCGCCACCGTAATTAACAGTAATAATAAGCTTACTAATTTTTTCTTTTTGTTTTTTGTTTTTGTTGTTGTTTTTTGTTGTTTGTTCTTTTTCTTTTGTTTTTGTTTTTTTTTTTTTGTTTTCGTTTTGTTTTTGTTTTTTCTTTGAGGTAAAATTAAATTTTTATCCTACCGCACGAGGTCTAAGCGAGACCAGCATCGGGTAATTCGATCTCTCATGAAAAAGACCGACCGTGGATCCGGGATAATTACATTCGCACCTAGCGGTTTGACGCTGCGTAACTCGATATCAAATAAGCCACGCCCGGCTGTTTCAATTTTGATCAAAATCTTTTTCATATTTATACGATAGGGAGAGAAATTTTTTAATTTACGCGTGTGTTGGTGCGCTCTAATGGATTGCTTGTCATTGCAGTCAAAATTTATAACGTCACTTGTCATCGCCCAATATCCAGGCCGAGTATCATCCTTGAATAATTGCACAATTTCAAGCCGGCTTCTATAACTAGATATAAATGGTTTAAATTAGCGCCATTTTTATGGGGCTCCTTAGCTTTTGGGATGCAATTTTTTAAGCTAATACTTAACACGTAATTACGTAATATTTTAATGTCAAGTATTTTCACAATATTCGTTGGCGACGTTGCCGAAATTTGTCTCCCAAATATTTGTAATTATTATTTGCGCGTGCTGTGTGCTCGACCTTTCGCTTTATATTAATCATATTATATCATTGAGGTGTACTAGATATTTTTGCCCTTGGAAAATTATAAAATCTCTTATTAAAATGCGGAGACAAATATTATATATATATATATATATAGATTAGATACCTCTATCACATCTCTCATCATGATCTCGACCGTAAAACGGTGAGATTAGAAATTTTGTTTCACCAAAGATTTCTCACCTGTTGTGGCAACAAGCCAAAAAGCCTCTAGGAATTTTTCTCGAGCCTCTGTTATTATAGAGCTAAGCATAAGATATAGCAAGGCAATAATGGCGAGAGGGGAGATCGCGCGGCCTAAGGCTAATAATAATTTCAAATAATCCTTTATAAATCAAAGCGCGTGGGTGTAGCAAGAGTCGATGAGCCGAGTTGGAGAGGAGAAAAAAAAAAAAAAAAAAAAAATTGCCACGTAAGTGTTCGGAACGAGCCCTCATAGCTGAAAACGCAGGCAACTGCGTCCGTTCCTCCTACGCAAAGACGACGGCAGCGAAAAATGCACGATCGTAAAATCCGGGCTCTCGCCATCTCGCTGGGGTAAATTACTCGGAGATTGTGGGGGGTTGAGGTAGTGGAGAGGAAAAGAAGGCGACTGGCGTCTTTGGTAGGCTATCATCGCGACGATAAATCTCCCGGGAACGCGCGCGACCCGCGTTAAAATGACGAGGGGTTGTTGTAACACAAAGCGGAGATCGCCGGCGCTCCAGTTGGCTATTTGACTTGGCTGGCGCACTCGCGAGTACGAAATTGTGGCATCGAAGCCATCAGGCGCCGACAACGATAAAAGGCGTGACTCGGCCGTAAAAGACGCGAGGCCCGAGTCCGTTAACGACGGCGCAACTCGAAATTGCGAGCGCCGCCCGAATGTAAAAACGATTATTATAATCTGCGGCTCGTACTAGTGGGCGAAAGAGAGCATTTCGGGCGCGCGGAAGGATCCTGAAATTGCAATTTAAAAATCGGCTAAACGCCAGCTAGGTGGCAAAAAATATTGACACAGTATAAAAGTGCTCTGAAATTTCACCGGCCGAAAAAAGCAGTAAATTACCAAGGTTACTACAAGAGAATGGTCCGCATCACTTTCTCCCTCGTAAAATGCGCGCGCACGCGCGCGCGTCTGTAACACGTAACGGTAGCCTGGAAATTGCGAGTCGCGGGACTCGCAAGAGGCAGGAATTACGCAGGTGGCGAAGGGCGCGTCGCGATCCTTTGCCTCGCGGGGGTGAGAACCGCGTCCCTTGCATTTTTCAGAGGCAAGGTGCTCGAGCCGTAGCGGCCCCCTGCCCCGAGTGATGATGCACCATCGGTTATTAGCGACGGCGATTTTTTGCCATCCGATGGATTATTAAATTTGAAATTCCAATAGGTCGATGGGGGATTAAATGGCGGGCCGGCGGTGGCTTCGGTGCCCTCCGATAAGGCATCGCTTCTCGATTATTATGTTTTAGTTACGCTGTATTGAATATCCTTTTTGGTGCTGCGAAAATGCATAAATTTATTTCCCCTTATTATTTAGCCTTTTTCTCGACTTCCCTCCTCCATCCCTTCCACTATCCCCACCTCAGCGCGTATTTTTCCGTTTGTTAATGACAATGAGATATTCGGACAGATTAGAATAAGACTAACGGGACAATTTTGCATACCGAGTCAACAGGCTGAGTGTCAATGGATTTGGAAAGCCGCAACGACGGTGAACAGATAATTTACCTTTCATATCCTATCCATAAATAATGTATTATTGTCCATATTATTATTATTATTATTATTGTTGTTGTTGTTGTTGTTATTATTATTATTATTATTATTATTATTATTATTATTATTATTATTATTATTATTATTATTATTATTATTATTATTACTATTATTATAGTTTCTTTTTCCATAGCCTACCGGCACCGGCTGTTGTTACCACTACCAGTTGCGTCTCGGGGATGGGCTCCGACACTTCATATCCAACTCTTCTTCTTTTAGTAACGAAAAAATAAATGTTTATATTTTCTGAAATAAGATTACTCGTGCGTACGAGGCGAGATTAGTTATTTATTAATTTTTTGTACGTGGGACCGAGGAAAGGATGGGTCGGGTTAGTGGGGGGGGGGGCGATGGGAGACTCGCATCGTGATGGAATAGGGCCTCTGGATTGCTTACATAGTCCCGGGCGTCGTCGCGCGAGAGAAAAAGATGGACAAGTCCGAATAACGAAGATGGAAAGGTTAGGAAGCTTAGAACGAAACGCCCATCTCTCTAAACAATTAGCCTGGACTTTTTTTTTGTTTTTGTTTTTATTTGTTTTTGACACGACGGGTGCAAATAACATGAATCTTGAATGACAGTTCCCAAATTAATTTATGAAAAATTCTCATCAGCGCGAACAAAGGCTGACTGCATTAAAACAAATATAAATATATATATATATATATATATATATATATATATATTATATTCAATCTTCTCGCAATTTATTACACAAGTTTTTAATTCCCCTCTTATTATCCATTAATCCCACAATAACGAGCTTTTACAGAATTAAAATTACATCATCTTAAAGTAGACTCACATTTAGATAATTTAAAAGCATTAACAATATAATATTTTAACGTATTTATAATATTTGCGATAAAAGGTGTTGAGTGTTGAGCTTTGGTGATTGCGGTGAGGATCTCCGAATCACTCATTATCAACACGGAACACAGTAGCCATACTTCACCTAGGAACGAGTCCAGATTAACGAATCACCGTTAACCAATAAAGGTATCCTCCAATCATCACGCGCATCATGCGGCGAAAGTTGGCCTATTAACGTGAAAAGGCAAAAAAAAGGCCGTAACTTTCCATGAACGTTGATCCTCATTGAGGCTTTCGTTTCCCTAGTTGTGTCGTCGGCTTGGGTATGGTGCTCTTGACGTGCGCGAACTTAGCCTTGCGACTCTGAGATTTGATCGGCACTGACAGAGTCTGGCTGTATTGGACGGGAGGTCGACACTCTTGGAGCCTCTTCCTCGGAGAACGGCAGGACGGCGCGAGGCACGGCCTCGTGGACGTCGGCGTGACGGGAGGGGCAACGCTACCCGAAGGCTGGCCAAAGCGGCGACGCGCAGTCGCGCATTGCGTGAACGTCTCGTGTTGCTGCTGGTGCTGGTGCTGCTGTTGTTGTTGCTTCCGTTGTTGTTTCGGGTTGGACAGGCGTATGATGGACGAGAGTCGCAGATTCGGCTTTGTATCCGTAACGATTAGCTGCAGTGACGGTATGGGAGAAGATAAAAAGAGATTGTGATGGATCGAGGGAGACAGGAGGAGATAAATAGATAGATAGATAGATAGATAGATAGATAGATAGATAGATAGATAGATAGATGGATAGAGAGAGAGAGACAGAGAGAGAGAGAGAGAGAGAGTGTGTGTGTGTGTGTGTGTGTGTGTGTGTGTGTGTGCGATGAGTCTTTTGGTGACGTGTTAATTGCCGAGAGTGGATTGTTTAATTACGCGAGCACTTATTATAAAGACTGGCCTCACGGAAGAAGGATTATATTGGCTTGAACTTTCTCTTGGGTCGCGCTCCGTGCGGTACTTTAGGGCACTTTATGTGAAAGCGTGAACGGGTGTCGGTTGGCCATAAGTAAACTTTTCGGTTGACTGCCTCATGAGGCGTCGAAAACTTTTGTAATAATTCATTTATGACTGCAAAACTAACTTTATAATCGCGTTATAATATAAGCACTTGATATTCTGATCGCGATTATTCATTTTTAATTACTCGAGAGCCAACGCCTGATAACATTATTAACGGTTAAATTTTTGCAACCTCCGTTTGACGGTATATTGCTTTTATGTCTCTCTCTCTCTATAAAAAAAATGCTTTCGGTATTCTTCCGTATTTAGATTATAAGTGTCTTACTTAAGGCATAAAATGTAAACTCGACGTACTTGCTAAATGCGATTTTTTTACAATTCTTTGGCGATGTCTGCATGCTCTGCATGAAAACATTTTTAAAAGATTATACGACTTAAGGGTATACCCGTTAAAAATTATTTCAACGTTGGAAAGTTTTACATGCAACGATAATTATTTTAATTAAAATTAGCTATTTTATATTTAATATTTTTATTTAATAATTTAAGGATATGGAGCATGTATATTCAAAGCTACTTTTACTTATGATGATGATATCGTTATTTGTCTTTTACTTTCATTTTCAACTTTTTAACTCCTATAAATTATATCTAAAGTAAACTCGGATTTCGAATCTTTTCTCATAATTTAAAATAATATTTACTTATTACCAAGCTTATAAATTCACGTATAGTTAAGTTATTATTACACATAATCTAAGAGAATATAATGTAAAGAGTATTTTTTAACAAAGTTTTATTGCCATTTTTAATTATGCATATTATTCATGTCTTTTGTAATTATGTGCCGTATTAATAAAAATATGCAGTAAATAAGCTGCGAAATTGTTAAACTGTATATTACAGATCGAAGTAAATAATCTAATATTTGTTTGCATCGATATCAACTCATATCAACACTGACAGAATTATAAATAATCATTCGACATAAATACTTTCTCAATAAATCTAAGCATATAATTCAATATTATAAATATAATAAGGTATATATATATATATATATATATATATATATATATATATAGATATATATATCAAGTTGCTCCAATATATCAAATAATATTGGACAATAAACCATATTCTATGAACTTAATATATTTAATATTAACATAATGTACTAACTATAAATGTATGGATAAATTCATTATTTTATTATAAATACTTTGGAGCATGCAACTTTTATAATTCCTGCATACATTTAAAAATTTTAATTACAAGAATTTATATAAATTAATGTATTAAAATTTTATTTTACCCTATGTTTTTTTGTTATACACAATTTTATCATTTTATTTCTTATAAAATTCATCAACAAAATATATTGTATAGGACTCGAAGTATAAAGTAATTACTTAATTTACGAGTACTGCCGAGATAATACATAAAGGAACTTCTTCTAAGAGATAAAATACGTTTTTTATTTCCATGCACATATAATGTAGATTGTGGATGTAAGAGATCACTTTTTCTTTTTTTTTATATACAAGCACATTTAATTAATGAAAATTCTAATCTACATTTTTGATATTATAATAAAATAAATGATTAATTAATTATTCTAATGTCAAACATAATATGACAGAATAATATTCATATGCGAGACTTAATATGATTGTTAGAAACAAATTTGAAACTATATTTTATTGGTTTTGGACGGACAATACATTTTTTATTTACCTCTTTTAATTCTTCCAGTTTGTTCTGGACTTTCATTGAATTTTTATACGCTTCTTCGATTATGCTCAACGCAGCTGGACCGCGCCTCGTTACTTTAGTTTTCTAAAGCACAATTGAAACGAGAGAAATTTGTTTGAAAAATAAGCGTAACGTAATTCTCACTCGAGATATAAGAGTAAAAATTATTAATCACCTTGATCTTTACGGTATCTGTTTCTGCGATCGAACACTTGTTATCAGATATTATTGATTTTTCATCGCTGTAGTTGGATAATGAACATATATTGCATGACTTGGAGTAATTATCATTGAATTTTTTATCTAATGCTTCTAAAAACTTATATCTATTAATGTAACAAACTCGACGTTTGAAATTATTCGAAATATATTATTGTAATTGATAAAAGACATTACGTCATAATGGCATTAAGACTCCATCGGCGTGTCAAAAGCCCAAGCTAGAAGCCGATTAAAAGAATAATTGATAATTTTATACGAACCTCGTATGCAAATCATTATTAGTATTGTAATCGATTCTTGAAGCGTCCGGTACATTGGGTGTTGTGATAATCATTTCATTAGCCTTTGTCATCGATTCGAAAGTTTCCACGTTTTCTAGATTAATCGTAAGCGTTGCGAATAGAACTTCTTTGATGGCATCGACAATTTGTTGTTTCGTAAGTATTGTCGACATTTCCGTACTTCTTCTATTCTGCAAATATTAGTTTCAAACGTACATCCGTTAGACTATGATGTAACGACAGATATATAAGAATTTCCAATCCCGCGTAATATTCACTTATTAATACATTCGCAAATGCTTATTATTTAGATGGATGATAATTACATTAGGACTGGAATTAGGTAATCCATAATGCACTAATAGCTGTGAAAATTCTACTTTGAATTCGTTCATAGTCAACGTTATTACTTAACTGACAATTATAAACTCGTTTGCTTTGATATCGACAATTGTTTGTGGCTTTGTTTACTACTTCATCGGCGTTGAGCGCTTTGAATTTACTTCAGTTTCAACATCTTTTTCATACGTAATACTACAATAAATAAACAAACCGACCAGTCGATACAGCAACTCTTTAATACATAATACAATTTAATGAAAAAATTCAGCAATTTGTTTAATATTTATTTTTTTTTTGCGGTAGATTAATAAATATATGTAGTAAACATTGATAAACATAGGTAAATGTGATTATATTATTTGTATATAAGAAATAAAAGAATATGTTTAAATAATAATATTATGTCGCAGATTAATATTAGCACATTAAATAAATAGAATTTTTTTGAAAGAGATTATAAAAGTAATCTGATTTTACATTTTTTTATATTTCATAATTAACATGGTTTTGTCAATTTTGTATGACTTTAGTTAGCATTAAAATTTAGCAATATGTCTCTCTCTCTCTTCTCTCTCTCCCTCTCTCTCTCTTCTCTCTCCCTCTTCTCTCTCCCTCTTCTCTCTCTCTCTCTCTCTCTCTCTCTCTATCTCTCTCAATTACACATTTATCTCCAAAGCAGATTAAATTATTTGATAGAGTCTCAAGTATCTTTTATGCTGACGTATGGCTTGTTTCTTCCCATGGACCTTCGTATTTTGCCAACAGGCCCTTGTTCCGGCTAATTCCCGCCTATTTGACGAGCTGGGAAAGCACCTTCCACATCTTCAAGTAAAAGCAGTAGCCGTTTGGGTCGTATATTTATTTTCCTAAATGACTACGAAGTTGCGAAAATATTTTCTTTAGTTTCAAAGCAGCCTTTTGAAATTTAATCTCTGGCTGCTGAAAAATACTCAAACTTCTTATAAAAGTATTAATATCCTTTTCGTATCTTATACGGACTTGTAGGGAATTATTTTACAAGTCATATACATGTAATTAATTTCTTCCTACAATTTACATATCTATTTATGGTATATTAATAAATATGTTTAACAATGCTTAACAATGATCATTTGACTAAAGTGACAAGAACGTCAAATTGGCTATTTAAATTACATAATAATTTTTTTTTTTTTCAGTAAAATTCTTAACAAAGTTAAGATAAATGGATTTATCGATTTATAATAATGTTGATTAAATCAGCATTTACAGATCAAAATTTTCATAATGATAAATATTATTTAAATTAATATTTAAACTATTTTCCACAATTTTATTTTCATAATAGTGTAATTCTTCTAACAACGACTCTCTATTCTGATTATTTTTTAAAATCATTTTTCTAAATAAACATGTATTTTCATATGGAGTTCATGGCGAGGATAATAACTGGCGCTTAAAAATACCAAGTTACATTATAATAAAATAATATTACCAGGGCGGAAAAAAAGTGAGACTTTGCAATTGAATAATTAATTACGTGGTGCGCGCGCGATAGAGTAAAATCGAATTAGGGCGAATGAAAATATTTGATTGAATTCGCGCGAAAGTGAATGCCGTTGTAACGAGGGACCGTGAAAAAGCGATTTTCGTCGGTGCTTACGACTCAGGGGAATTGATTGATTGCTGGGTAATTGTGGCCCTCGCTGAAGAAGCTTATGTCGTACTCGCGAGAAAATTCAGTGGAGTGAATCAGCGAGATGCTCGTTTTGGGTGCATCCTAAGTGAGAGAAGACGGGCTCCGTAGGTTTTTTCGTTCGCGCATGCGAGCCTTAACGACTTGTATGGCTATTAGACTCTTCGGACTTTTTGTTGCTGCAATTACAATTGCTTTTTTCGCTCGTAATTATGCAACGATATTTTGAAAACTACGGCGTTCGAAAAAGGAAAACAACTGCAGGCGCATATATTTAGATACACGCTAGCCGGATTCTCTGAAGCTCGAGTCAGTTTACGAGTGATGCGAAATTCTCTGAAGCTCGAGTCAGTTTACTTCTTCTGCTTCTGCTTCTTCTTCTTCTTCTTCTTCTTCTTATTCTTGTTCTACTTATTCTTTTTTGCATTTATTTTATAAAGTTAAGAGAAGACAAGCGTCAATGAATATTTGTACTATGAATGTCTATGTGGACTATAAAGTTATTCGCTTTTGATCGTAGAAACGGTGTCACGACTTTTTCAATTTAACAGAGTTGGCTTAAAATACATATTTATCATTAACGGTAAATTTCTTCAAGGCGCCTTTTAGCTTTCTAATTGTAATATTTCTTATATGAAACAGTGTGATATTTATATTAATTATACTCTTTAAAAGACTTTAATTGCTGTAAAATCTGAAGGGAATTTTTTACAAGTAGCGATTTTAAAGCAATAAGATTTTAAATTGCAACTTTAACGGAACGATTTTCTGTGTAATTAGCCGATGTACGAATGTGCTCTCCCGGTTCATCCCTCCCTACCTCCCCCCTCTCCCAATAACCTCGTTGTTCCATCACCTCCACCGCCGCCTCGTCTGCTGCAACCCCGACATCCTTTTTCACAAGTAATTTTTCTCTCGCGGAATTTTTAAGCGCGATTCGCAGTACTCGCTCGAGGCAATTAACGTTACGCTGCAATGGGGCTTCGAACAATTTGTTTCGTCGATTTACGTTTATTTGTATTAACTCGATAAAATTCCAGGCGCGGCTTCTTAGAAAAAGGGCGCGCGTAACGCAAGGCAGAGTGCGTCTTCGATTAAAGCAACGCGCGGTGACGACGACTTGGCCCGAATATAAACAATGATCCTGCTAATTAAGAAGAAAGTTCTCGGCTCCCGTGGGTAAGTTGGGACGAGCAGCACGAGGGCGTAGCCGTCGTTGGGATCGGTAGGAGACGCGCAGCTGAAGCGTGCGTCGTTGGGTTCGAGTAGAGTCGGCTCCGGAAAAACGAGCGGCCAGATTTATGCGTATACTCCACCTTTCACTCGCCACGGTCCGCGGAAATTGCGCGGATGCCGTGCGGCGCGAACTGGGTCAATTACTCGGGTGCGCGAGCCTCGAAAAAAAAGGGAGGCGGTGGCGGCGGCGGCGGCGGCTGTGGTGGCGGCAACTCAATTAAATGCAGCCGATGTTGCGAGCGCGTGACCGAGACGTTTGTCACATTCGAGTTTATTATCTTAATGGGCCGGTGGAGCGGTGACGAGGTGGGACGGGGAAAGTAGCGAGACCTCGCAAGCTTATACTCGCTGGGTATCGAGTCCAATTTTACGATTACCCATTGAACCTCGTACGTTATTGCTTAATTCCATTTTGTTAAATAAAGCGCTAATGGATTCCGACACTTTAGTTGCAACCGTGAAAATCAGCTGGATCGTGCAGTTATGGGGAAACTTCTCGCTGATGCTTTTCCAGTTCAATATGTGCGTGAACGAGGAGCATTCGGACAGACGTCAATTGAACATTTTTCTTCCGAAGCATTGTCATTGGAGCGCTTTTGGCAGCGTGTTTTTCCATAATGCACCGATAGGTATTTAGGGACATTTCGATATCATCTCTAGAAATCTTTGATACAATCTATAGATCATTCTTTGCGATACGTAATAATAGACCATTGCTGGATAATAAGCTCTACCTTTTAATATTGAAAAGGTAACGGCTGAATTTCTGCACATTCCGGAGTAACTATTTAATTCTACGGTAGAGAAATTTTTCAAGGTAAGGGCGCAAAAATTGAAACTCAACGTATTCACGTATTTAAAATACTAATGGAATTAACTGGATTTTGAGTTTGCTTATGGGCATAAGTATATGTATTTCTAGAGTTTCCTGGGTGTCTAACGTCTAACGTTCCCAATGAATGAGATAGAATATTGAGTAGGACATTAAGGTAGTACTGATCCCCGTGCAAGAACTTGCAAACACGCAGTTACGTGTCGTATCGGGGATTCATCCATACTTTCAGAAACGCGAGTCGCGATTCGTTGATTAATTTCTGGATGGTTGGGTACTTTGCAAAGGAGACATGATAAATCTCAGGTACGAAAAAATTAGCTGTTGGAAATATGCGAGATGAATGATGGTTGGAGTGCAAGGGCGTAGTTGCTTAGCTTCTCTCTCGTCCTGCTTTCTTTCTCTTCTCCCTCCCACTCCCCGACACGCAAGCACGCACCCACCCACACACACACACACGCGCGCGCGCGCACACACACATACATCATCATCATCATCTCTCTCTCTCTCTCTCTGTCTCTCTCTCTCTCTCTCTCTCTCGGTATGTTGTGCCCGTCCTTTCTTTCTTAATTTTTTCATGATTGAGCGATTAGAGAGGGGCGGCGTTCGAATCAGTCAAGTGGATGTAGGAGCGCCGTACGAAGATACGAGAGTGATTTTGTCCCCCCGGCGTACGCGCCATATTCAATTTGACTTCGTCGTCACTACCTTTTTTCGCCATCTCCTTCGCTGTTTAAGACTAAATCAAATCGTCGCGCGAAGTGCTGCAGCTGCTGTCGCTTTAATGGATTTGGTTAGGCACTCGAGGACTCTTAAAAGCATATTGGAAAAGGATCTCCAAAACATTCCCGACATTATTTATGCCGGCAAATGAGTAGAAGATAAGGCTTTTTAAAAAATTTATATGTGGGTGATATATCTCGAAATACTGCAATATTGAAATTAATTGCAAAAATTAATTTTCTTTTACGAGCCTATCAACGTCCCATTAATAATATCTACAGCCCTGCTATACCGTTTATTTTTCTTCTTCGAGCTTTTAAAAAGACACATTGATTTTTGCATTTCACAATTTTACGATCGCCATCGGCATAGAAGCCCAATAAAACGAAAATTCGAAATCTTTTCTTCATCATTATTAATGCTTTGTAGACAATCAATGCACCACAGTTCATTGCAGCTAATATTTAAAACATTTTGAGCGTAAACTTTAAGAAATAACTGTGAATATACCGAGTTCTTCCTTAAGGAATAATCAATCGTCTTGTATTTGTATGTGTAGATAAAATGGGCGTG